TACTCTGCCCAACAACCATGCTTCCCAGGATCAACATAATATAAGCAGCCCCCTTCTACTGAACTGTGTTATACCAGTTCATTCAGAATCACCACCTGCAAATGACCACGGATAAGTCATTTATAGTTATGCTGTTTGTGACAATGAAGGAAAGAGGAAGAAAGTGGGTGAGAGTACTTATGCACTTCTGCTTCTAGTTGTCACCACATAAGCATAAAAGCTTCCTTCTCTTCTGTTTTTCCTTAAATGACAGAATATACACAGTGCGCACGGAAAGGTGATTCCAAAGCTATTTTTCCAAGCTGTTTTCTTCTCCCCACCTTAAGCTAACAGGGGATCTGTCTTTGGTGTCCATGTGCCATTGCTTCAGCCAAAAAAAAAGTTTTAAATTTTTCCTTCATTCTCAATTGACATTGCTCGGGCTGCCAAATGAAAATGCTTCAATGGCTAGATGGATTGTTAATGTTGCCAATCCTAAAAAGAAAAAAAGGGGGGGAAAAGAGAAAACATTCCCAGGACAGGATCAAGTGAGCTTTCTAGCTATGATGGTTTGCAATGACTCCAACAAACAATAATTTAACCTTCATCTAAGGCTACAAACAAATTAAAGGACTCTCAAAGAGAGCCACAATGAGAAAAGACAGTTCAAAATTAACTCAAAAGAGAAGGATCATATACACAAAAATGTCTATAGACCAAATGACTGCAGGTAAATTTCAACCCTTTGTGGTAGTCTAGACTCTAGACAAGAAGAACAAATCATGAACATTAATACTACATTCATTGTAAAAATCTTGCAAGTCTGAAAACATTTTTCTCCTCCTTTATGTTTGGTTTCCAGAAAACTAAGGAAGGTGCCTTCTGAAATATTTCCCATACTCCCTTTTTTTCCGGTGGGCTGAGAAACCTTTTGCATGATGTTCGTCTAGCCTTTGTCACTTCCTCCTGCCTCCCAAGGTCATTCCCAGATCAAGCCAATCACATTTGGAAAAGACAATCTTTGGTAGAATTCTGGATTTATCAACTTCTCTAACCAATTTCCCCATTACAAAATGCAGCTCACTCTGAATGTTCATCCTGTGTCCATAACTGTGTGAATGAAGGAATAACCATAAAGAAGGTTATCTTTGAAGGATCATCTCATTCCCTGGGTATCCACATGAACACTATTCATGTTCTATCATCAGATGATAATTTCTAAAAAAAACATTTTCTACTGTGGGCCTCAGTTGAGGAATGCCTTCCCCAGAGAGACAGAATTTCTGCTTGTTTTCTTGATATCTCAGTAACACACAAATTTTTCCCCCATAAAAACATCACACGATAATTCTAATGTATGATTTTTCATTCTCTTAGCCCCAAACCACCAGGCCACAATTGCCTGCTGACTGTGGGTGCAGAGAAATGTACCCAGAAATAGTATAAGCCAGTACAAAAGGAATGGATAATTCATTATAGATTCATTATTTTGCCTGCATTCTCTTGTTCTGAAATTGTAGCTTACAATCCTAGAAGATCCTGGACCAAGCAGTAAGTTTTAAGCAAGGATTTCTTATCCAGTAAGAATACCAGTCTGTGGTGGAGGGTCTTTCAATCCTCTAGCAAAATGGAAGTTTAGACAGAGGTAAATAGGAAATCAACTACTCCCTTCCCAACCAGTAGTTTCCAATAGGAAAAGGAGTAAAAAAAAAAAACCTGTACTACATATGTTTCCCACTGAGGAATGGAATATTCATGTTGATAAGAATTTTCATGCTCAACTCCTCCTCTTCCTATTTCCTTTTCTTCCCTTTCTTTGTCCTAGTTTTATAATGGTATGGAGGTGAAGGTCTCCTTCACCAATTACACATCACTAAACTATCACCCAGCGGTAGAAAAGAACACATCCCAAAGATCTGAGAAGAACCTGAAAAAGAAAATCCAAAATACAAATATTCTGTGCTTAATGTCCACTCATTTAGTGACCATTACAATGATGCTGAACGAGGAGGATTTACAATGGGTCCATACAGCTGCCACTGTTGAAGCACTCCTCCCTCCTAATGGTCTCATGATCATTAGGTGCTTGGCAACTGGATCAAAATTGCAGTTCTGCCAAGCAAAGCCAATGAAGAAGCTGCCAGGAGGTGGAAATGTTGATCATGTGACAGGGGTAGTGGTGGTGCTGCAACCTTGCAAGATTTACTTAACAGCAGTGACTGAGGCTGTCATAGGTTGGTCCAGTCATGTGACATTGTGCCTTATGACTGAGTTACTTAGTAATAGATTCCCAGTTCCAAAACAAAGATTTCCTGCTCTCTTCACTCAAGGAATACCTTGGTAAGGAACATTAATCCCAAAGATGCATTGAGATGATGTATCAGGTCTGAATGCATTTGGATTCAGGCTGAATTTTTGGAAGTCTTCCCATAGTTTTATTTCCTTCTTTCCTCTTTTCCCTATCTTTAGTTCCCAACATTGGAATTAAGCTTCGGAGAAAAACGGGCCCAAGAAAAATATGAATCTATATATTTTGCAAAGAGCAAACATTTTCTGGAACCCTTAATCGAGGAGTTTGAGCTGATTCTGAACTCCCCCTCCTTTCAAAACTACCCTCCTTTGAAAGAGGAAGAAGAAAAATGCTATCAGCAAACATTTGCAACTCTCTATGTATATTGTCTATACCCCCTTATATGTTTCCATACAGTTCTGAGATATTGGCAATTATTATTTAAGTCAAAAGGGAAAAAGAAGAATAATTTACACCATCCATCATTGTTTCCTTGTATGAATAAATTACAAGATACCGTAGCAAATCAATTGTGGGGAAAGAAACAGCCCATGCCAAACACTGTGCTTATGTGTATAATTTCCTTAATGTTTTCCCTCCTCATATATCAAAAAAACAGAATGAATTTGGCAAACCTGATGCAGGAGAAAGCTCATTATGCCAAAGTCTTGCAGCCAGTCCACATAATAAGAGAAAAAAGGGGAATGTCTAATCCTCCAGAAGTAGTAATAAGATCTTTGGGGCCTGATTGTCCTTCCCAATTTCTTTTACCAAAGTGTAGAAAATAACCTCTTACGTGATGAGATTTAGAACTCACAATTTCACAGTTCATGGTCTGTCTAGGAACTTTCTTAAGCAATGGCTGATTCAAACCTACTCGATGCCATATGTGAAGAGCTGCCTTCTAACAGATCAGATTTTCCATTTAAACCAGTATTGCCAAGAGACTGGCTCCCTTGAGTTCTTTTTATTGAGAAATAAAAAGAATTTTCCCACCCCTTGCCTGATCTTGTTTAAAACACTAAAGAAGCCAAGGATTACTTTTGAAGGAAACATGTCCATTTCTGTCAAGCTGCAGTCACTACCCATGATGCATCAGTGGAATCCCACCCCTGCCAAAATTTTGAAGTGCGAGATTCATGAAAACTATAAGATAATCTCTAAAATGAACTTAACCTTGTGAAAAATGCACATTATCTTTCCTAAAATTCAGGAATAATCTTAGTCTAGCTGTATGAATGACCCAGCTTCACATGCTTGACATGATTCTCCACTAAAGCATCTCATTCGCCACAGAATGTCCTATTGTCTCTGGCCATCAAAAGTTGCCCATCCCAGTTAGTATGAAAGATACATTTTGTCAAACAGTATTTCTCAACTTTGACCATTTTTATGATGTGTGGACTTCAACTCCCAGAATGCTGACTGGGGAATTCTGGGAATTGAAACACACTTTAAAGTTGACATGGTTAAGAAACACTGTTCAAGAGTCTTTACTAGACTTTACAGCATATTTTCTTTGTTCATATACAACACTACTTCTACCTTTGAAATCTGAAGAGAAAAACTCCAGAGATGACTCCATTTTGTCAAAATACAGCAATCTCATGATTTACAGTGAGGTTACACTCTTTCCGACCACCTCCTACATATTTGCTGCTACATACTAAATCATACATCACATGTACATTGAAATTTGGTGATAATTTATGCAAGGTGTGTCAGTTAATATTAATCAACTATTAGGCATGCTCATTTTTGAGTTCTAGGGATATTTTATGGCTCCTTAGAACAATAGGTTATTTCCTGTTTTTCAGTTCAGTTTGCCTTTCCTGTTACCTCATTCAGTTATCTTTCCCTGGCTAGCCATCTTCTCTTGCAACTGTTTTTACAGCTTGTATTCTTCCTTTTCCCACTCTGAAGACCCAGCTAATAGACACCCAGTGTCTATCTTACAAACTGCCTTCATACTACCATTTTCTCATTCCTATCCATTGTAGTTTCTCTGTCATGCTTGTTTCTCCACTCAGTAAGCTTCCAGTATACAACAGATTCAATTTTAAATTTTTCTTTCAATATTAAAATTTGAAGACCATTCACTTTTTCCTATCACCTGGTACTCAACTGCTTTGAAACTCATCGAATTTGGTACTTAACACATTTTGATGTGAACATTTTGTCCTGGTACTCATTGTTTGCTTGGTACTCAGTACATAAGCTAGAACTTGTTCATATTGTCTGTCTTGTGATTCACTACATTATTCCTTAGGGGAAAAAAATTGTTTGGTACTTATCATTTTTGCTACTCATTGTGCTTCCTGGAACCAATTAATGATGAGCACTGAGATATTACCATACAAGATTTACAATGTAGAAGTGCCCCAGACATTTTTCTCTTCTACAAGGTACCTTACCTTCAACTGTAGGTAGAAATAATAATCTAGCAACACTTTTTGTTGAGAAAATTTGCACTGATTCTTCTGTTGTTTTAAGAAACTGCAGAAAAACCTGACTAAAAAAGAGAAATCATTCCAAAGATAATTGTATATACACTCCATAATTTGAATCATTTTCATATGAAGATTACATTGCTGTAATTTTATAAAGTGAAAAATTTATATTTTTCTTTATTTTTAAAAGAGAGCCCTATTTTTTATGTTAACCACCAATAAATTACAACCAGGAGGTTAGTCTATTTTCCACATCAAGGAAGCTCATTCCAAAGACTTACCATGTGGTGTTTCTGATTGTGTGGAGAGGCGGTGATCTGTGGCATCCAGCCATGTGCCAAACTGGGTGTTACAACGCTCCTGCAATCGATGTGAGATCCTGGGAAGCAGGGTATGAACCCATCCTGAATTCTCTGCTGTTGAACAACAATAACAACAAGATATCTTATTACTGTAAGATAATAAATATTCAATCTTATAAAGGTGCTTTTTCAAGAGGCAAATGGACTTAAATGATTTCATAAATGATTTTATAGGCACTAATTCAAATAAAAACCAGAAAGTCCAACTGCCTCTTGAAAAAGCACCTTTGGGCCAACCATGACCTGGATGACTGAGAAACTCCATAGACATCCAATCTTACAGAAAAATAGCTGTAGCAATAGCAATCCAGCTTATACACTGCTTCATAGTGCTTTACAGCACTTTTTGGATGGTTTACAGTAAAGAAGCATTTTTTTTGCATATTGCCCCTAACAATTTAGATCCTCATTTTATCAACCTTAGAAGGATGGAAGGCTGTGTCAAACTTTAGCCCCATCAGGACTGAACTCCAGGCTGTGGGCAGAGTTTGCCTGCAATTCTGCATTTTAACCACTGTGCCACCAGAGCATGTAAAATACATTAGTAAGCTTTCTTTTACTTATTTTTTTCTTATGTTTTTGTATCATAACTCTAATTTTCTCTTGTTTCTAAGTTATTTTATCTCAGACACATCACAGTCTGTGGCTGGAAAAGTTCTGGCTGAGTTGTTACAGGGGCACAGATTGTTCAAGTTGACATAGTCGATATCAAAGGTTGGAAGCTGACATAAATAATAGATTATGAGAGAATAAGTGTTCATGTGGACTAACATGAAAGAAAGGAAACTAATCTAATAATCAAAACAATCAAAATTACACTTTTTTCTCTTTTGAGCACAAAGTCTAGAAACAGCCTCTAAGTAGAAACAAAGCTAGATACATTCTTTTCCTAAATTAAAATAATTAATTTTGTTATCTCTGCCAATTCTATCCCTTTTCCCATCCATTCTTCCATAGTGGGAATTGACATATCTTTCCAGTTTGGCATATATAAAATTCTCACTGAAATTGTTTAACATAGATGATAACAAAGTTCAATTTTCCCTCAAGATGCTTATCCAATAGTGCTACCAGGAAAACTAATAAAAATCTGAATACAACATTTTTTCTCACCCATCCTATAAGCATCTAACTATCTGGATGGAGGAATCCTGCTACAATTGTGCTGTAGATAATCTGATAATGAGTCCAATAAACAATAAGACTAAATTTCACCTGCTAGGCTTGAAGTTTCTAACTTGCTCTTCCTTGTCAAAAGGAAAAATTGTTCACTCAGTATTAGCTTGCAAGTAATCAGAGTTTCAAAAAGAATGTTGGGGCAATTCTCACCATAATTAAATTAAATGCAAGTGTGACTCTAAGCAGGTGGCAGCTTTGATTTGAAATAGAGTTTACTGTGAGATAGTAAAAAGTGAAGGGTTGACACCAAAGGGAATTAAAGGACTGATTTCACTTATTGGAGTACATTTATTTCAACCCTACATCCATTAAGGGCACTATACTGACAGTGCACGCAAACCTTTTAAACTGAGAAATTGTAGGTTCCATGAATTCTAAGGGGTTGGCTTTGTCATTATGTTGATATAGAAATTCCAGGAAGCAATCGATTTGAAGAACCCTTCATCACTTCACTCTTACTAGATAAAAAGATACATACTTCAGTGCTAAAACAGAAACCAAAAGGCATGAAGGCTCTGGATTGATAAAGAAAAAAGAATATCAAAACAAAAGACATTGTAGCAGTCATGGATAAAGGCATACTAATTAGCAATGAAGCATCAAGAGCTTCCCTCTTAGAAAGTTTATAGGAAATTAAAACTGGGCCTTCATAACTCATGGTTCAGTAGAATGTATGATAATCTTGCCAACACCTCTTGGAATTGCATGAATAGGACACTTATCAAATCCTTGATGGGCTTCATTTAAAAGTTGCCCTAGCTTAAGAGAAGGTTTTTACATGACATCTTCTGTTGTGTATATGTCAATGAGTAGATAAGATTTTGGGAACAGAACCAGAGAGATTCATCTATGGAATCTCACTGGGGGATGCTGGACCAATCAGTCTGTCACAACACAGCCTATCTCAAAGGACTGTATGGGAGAAAGCAGTGATGGGATTCAGCCAGTTTGCACCACTTCGGGAGAACCAGTTGTTAACTTTATGAGCAGTTTGGTTGTTGGAAGAAATCCTTAGGGCAGAGAACTGGTTGTTTGAACCCCACCACTGGATTATTACGAAAGGCGGGATATAAATCTAATGAAGAAATAAAACTACACATACTCATTTATCACTTCCTCCAATATGAAAAAAATATTTTCTAGGAGATTGTTAAGTTGAAGCAACTCTCCACTTGAACATACATGGATTGCTATTACCACTTATTTGTTAGTTAGACTGGGATGATCATTCACTTCCACAGCTGATCCACACCTCCTGAGTTCTGTGATGTGATATCCTGAGCGGGTGGCTGTGATGTGACGTTCCGAGTTTTGATTTGGCTCCGAGTTTGAGGCCTGGATATGTGTACATGACATGGATCCGTTTGCTTGGTTTGGGGGTCAGGGTGTGTGGCAGCTGGTGATGCAGCCGTGGTCTGGTTTCTGGATGGCAGTTGTCTTTCGTCTATGGGATGGGTTTGGTTTTGAGTCTGGTGAGGGAGAATGGTAGTGGTGTCATGTGTTGTTTTGGGTCCGGTGTTGGTTTTCATGGCTGGGACTCGTTTGTTGGTGAGGGCTAGTTTCCAGATGTCTGGTAGGCGGGAGGCTTCATCCCATTTATTCATGTTATGGAGGTGTTTCTCTATTTCGATGGCTTCCCTGATTATTCTCTTGTTGAAGTGTTCAGTATTGGAGATTAATTTGGTTCCCTCAAAATTAATTTCATGTCCTGTGGCTTTAAGGTGCTGGAAAAGGGAGGAAGTATTTTCTTCTTTTCTGACTGCGTTCTTTGTTCTGCGATGCCGTGTGTGTGTGTGTGTGTGTGTGTGTGTGTGTGTGTGTGTATAAAATTTTAAAAAGAAGTTTAGCAATAAAAGATAGAGGCCACATAAGAGGAGACAAAACATTTTTATTTTTGCTACAGGATCCATTTCTAACATGGCATTGCTCATATACCTTTAGGAAAGAAATCGCAACATACATGGTTCTCAACCCTTCTGCTATCTTTATAGCAAGATAGCAAAGTTGAAAAAGAGAAAAGGAAATAAAAAGTTACAGGGAGCTTCATATCTGAATAAGGGATTTGACACTGTAGGCACTACTGCATCATTTTTACACTTGTGTGAAATGGTGTAGGGTCTCCTGCTTGAGCAGAGGGTTAGGCTAGAAGACCTCAAAGGTGCCTTCAAACTCTGTATTTCCATATCTCATATGAATATCACTTCACTTCATATGGCAACAGCAGTCCATAGAACTGTATCACCTTTTTGCGTTGTTTGCAATTGTGTTAGTGGAATGTAGAATCCTTGGGGAAGAACATAAATGTTCTTCACAGCCAAGTTCACACCTGGAGATGAACACTTGTGCTCTCATTATATGTGCAAGTTCTCAGATTGCTTTTGAACATGGATGACATAAAATTCCATGATACCGATACAAAAAAGATCTAGGAATATAACATGCTAGCAGCTATCTTTATGAAAATGGACTTGGTATCTATGTTTGTATGTGCACATGCCCCAGGATTTATGACTTTATGACAATAAAAGCACACTGAAGTATATTGAAGCTGATGATGCTGAAGTGTGATTATGGTTCATCAGATTTTCTGACATTTGAGCTATAAATTAAATACAGAGTACATTGTAATGTAAAGTCTGTGTCTACTTATTTAATCTAATCAAGTCTCAAATACTTGCTTTAGCAGGCTAATAGCCTCTTGAAGAAACACGGGGCTGTTCTGCATTTCATTTATGTGATGGATGGGAAGGGAAGATGAATTAAATAGGAGATGAGTACATTAGGACAAGGAAAATTGTAGCTTTTGAGGTCTGTATCACTGATATTTTGCATGATACTTTTTCCAAAAGTTCTCAGTGGTTTCCCAGATATGCTGGATCAAAATATGGGACCTAACTAGATTTCCTGTTTCTAAAAATAAATGGAAAAATACTAATTGAAACTTACTAGCAAAATCCTCGCATAGTGTGTATATACTCTGTAGACCTCATCTACGTCATTTTCAATTTCCAGTTTGGATTTCTGTAAAGCCGCCGCTATCAGATTCATCATAATTGCACGTAAATCTTCCTTTTTGTCTTCCACCACATTTTTGGAACCTAAGATGAAATGATGCCTTATCTAATTCCATGTGTACCATCGAATCCCAGAGTTCGCAGTAGAGCACTTTCCAATTTTGTTCTGAATCCTCTAATTTCTTCTCCACTATCTCCATTCTTGCCTCTACTAAATTTAATTTCTGTTCTTTTTTTATCACTTTTTCCTGCATCTTTCCAATCTTATTATTCAAATTTTGTATTTCATTTTTCACTTGTCCTATTTCAGTTCTCATCTCTGTTTTCATATCTTCATGGTTCCTCACCATCAATTCGTGGGTTTTGCCATCATTTCCTGCATCATAGTGAGTGTTGCCTGTACTGTCTGCAGGCTTTGAACTGAACTAGTTTTTTTCTGCCAATAGCATTGCATCTATAGATCTCTGCCCCATAGGTGAAGACATCGTTATTGTAGTTTTCTTTCCTGATTTTACATTTGTAATTGATGTTGTCGCCATTTTAACTATCTGTAGCAGCTCTTTCCAATCTACCATCAACTATCCCTAGTAGAGCACTATTTTCCTCTCCTTTTCAATTCAATAGTAATATTAATACATATATTATTATATTATTAATTACCAAAATTCTATTATGGAAAATCACAATCAGCTCTTATTTCTATTTTTTCTTATTGAACTTATTCAACTATTACAATACTTAAGAGAATTCAGTATTAATCAAATACAGATTTATTTACCCACAGAATCAACAGTCTTATATGCTTAATT